ATTTCATTGACAGTAATATTTAAAAGTCTTCTCATCTCACGCACATTAGAAACACCATCTTTAATGTATTCAGAAATTTTAACTGATAAGCGTGGATCAATTTTTTGTGAGAGTAGCTCAATCTAAAAAACGTTAAAAAGATTTACTGTTATAAAAGCTAATTAAAACAAATATCAGAGTTTTATATTAGAGTCTTTTTTTTTCATAGGTGAGTGGCCTTCACAACGATTAAAAAGTCCACATGCCTTAATTTAGGATTTAATGTCGTCACCGTTGTGTGTAGGTACTTTATGAATATACAAAAACTATTGGTTATAGTTAAAATAAGACTATTTAAACGCAGTTAAGAAAACTCTAGCATTAATACCTTGCCAAGAGGGTGATTTTTGTGATCATTTAAGCTGTCTATCTCAACAATAATTTTTCTACTAATTACCACATCCTTTTTTTGTAGCAACGAATATTTTATTTCTTTTGACTGTTGCTTCTTACGATAATTACTGGAATTAATAAGCTGAAAAAAATATTTAAATAAGAAAACTAAACAAAGATTATTTCAAAAGTAATAGATCGACAGTAAACAGTTAAGAACTTGATAAAATATTGTGAGTGCGTAATAATTTATAAAATGATTTCCTATTTAATAGAACATTGTAATGTCAGTAGATTTGTTACCTTGAAGTCAGTGAAATATACCACTTCTTTCATAATGGTTTTTGCAGGACAATTAAACTTTTTAGTATCTTGTATGATAACATAATTACTTATGTATAAATGATCTACTTTCTTTAAAAAAAAATAGCCAAAGTGAACATAAATTTATTTGACAACGATGCAAATTGTAAAAATAGGAGAATCTTTACCTGATTTTCTTTTGCTTCATTATGCTTCCTTTTTGCAGCAGCGTTCCGATCGAAACCATGGTGACAATTGTATCTTTTTGTTGATAATATAATATAAGGAGTAGCATAGTCTTCAGATGTTTCCCATAATACTTTATGTTGGGTTCCATGTATAACTAAGCAAGGAAATTAGGATATCATGTTTTGTGTATGATTTCAAATCATGTGATTGTGCAGAATTATTATGCACACACATTAGAACAACGATGTAGTTAAGGTGATTTATTAACTATTGATACATTATATTTCTAATTCGCACCATTTATTTTTGTTGTGTGAGTCGGCACCTCTTATTATATTTTAACAATTATTGTTCTCTTTTTTTAACATTAGTTAAAAATGTTACTACAACTAACACAAAGTGTAAAGAACATCATTTTAAAGGGATATTGATTTTCCTCAATAGCGTTAAATAACATTTTTGGAATAAATTTGTCTTTTCACAACAGATCCTTGTTCAAATCTATTCAGGTGCATTTAATTTAACTTTATTTTGATTTTAATATCACATTTAATTTAATATTAGTTAAAATATAACATTTCTATAAAGTTTCAAACAAATTTAGGAATAGAATAAACCAATAATTAAAAAAAAATTCAAAAGACTGAGCTAAACTAATAATAATAAAGAATGATAATTACTTCATCTATATAACGCACTTATTTTTAATTATAATAAAATCTGAAAAAGGAAGCCTAATTTTTTCTTAGTCAATTTTTGGTCTAGGTTTTCGTAAGAAATATTTAAATATTATAAATTCATATACTTCGCGCGTATGCAGAAATTAAAATAACAGTCATTGTTTCCCCATAATTATTTTATATTACAAATAACATTAATTCTTCTTAAAATATATACAAGTATAATTTGTTTGCTTTTACAGCGTTTTAAAATAAAAGTTCCTCGTTTATTTATCTAATAACATTTAGTTAAACAAAAATTACAGATTTCAATAGATACACGCTGTCAAATTAGGTACCAAGTCTTCATGAAAATCTTTATACTATGCAAAATAAATTGCACCAATACGGCGTATATAAGCACCAGTTTAGAGAATCAATTTTTTTTTTAATCTAGTTTAAGTTTATTTTGTCCAAGTCAAAGTAATTATTTAAACATGTTAGGTATATTAGAAAAAACAGTAAGTTTATCAAAACAAAGGTTCCAATTACGTTAAAAAAAAAAAAAAAACCTTGTTTATTGATATTTTACTAAAATTGGATCGTTTACATTTCCAAATTGAATCCAGTAGGTCTCCTGTAAAAAGAAAAAAAAAAAAAAGAAAGAAAAGGCTATTATTAGGCTATTAAATTGTACATCCAACTGAAAATGTTTAATATATAATTTCGTTTATAGTTATGTTTCTCAAGCACATGCTGATATTCTGACAACTCAATATGCAAATTAATCAGAAATTAAAGAAAAACAAAAGCAAATAAAAAATGTACAATAGGTTAAACATAAATGATTATAATTAAAAGGTTATATTATTTACAGTGATCATCTATAAGACGTGGGTGCATCTCCTGTGTATCTACCAGATTAAATAATAAGTTGAGGAATGAAAAATGCGTTTTCAAGAATATAAAAATCAAGGTTGTTAGTTAATGATTAATAAAAACTGATGAAAATTACACCAATGTGTTGTTCCCATGAATCGACATAATGCAATTTTTTAAATATAAATACGAAATTCTAGAAGAGTGGAAGCAACTTCTTACAACCAGATGTCACACCAATAACTTGTTTTGCCAATCAGAGCAGAGTAATTGTCATAGTACAATTAAGAACATTAGCATTTAAGATTTTTTGAGTTACTTCTTACCTTAACTCAGATTAAATTTTTTTATGTGTGGTTTTATTACTACTTACTTTGTTTGTGGTGATGTTTGTTTTAATGTTCCAATCCAATGTCAATTAATGGTCAAAAAAGTAAATTCCAGTCATGTAAATTTACTAAATTAAATCAATTTATCAACAGTATTTTTGCTGAAATAAAAAAAGAAAAGAAAAATAACATGAAAAAAAAAGAATTTTCAAAATCACCATAACTACACCGAGTTCACAAAACTTTTAATATTTATAAAAGTAAATATTGTCACTTTTCCAGATAATGTAAGCTTGAGTTAAAAATATATATTATACCTGAACTTCCAAAGCTCTTTGGTGTGGAAAGGGCAGCAAACCTAACAGAATTACTGATTTCATAACTATGAAGAAATCGAGTAGCTTCCTCAACTGAATCGCAAATGCAAGGCTTGGTGTTGTCTAAAACTTTAAACTCATTGAGATATTATATTATATTAATAATCATATCAAAGAATAATAAAAAAAAAAAACCTTTCAAAGTTGTAGTGTCTTCTTCTACTTTATATGTATCAGTAATGTCTTCATAATCAGACAAATCTGAACCAGAGCTAAAAAAATATATAATAATCTAGAATAATGCATAATAGCTTTTGCTATTTTACTTATTTTACAGTGATTTTGATTAATAATTAAAATTCATCAATAAACTTTGTGATGAGGAGAGCAAATAAGTAAAACTAATCATTTAAATGATGTTCAGTTTTAGAAGCTGATAAGGATACACGTGGCAGAGCTAAAGTAAAAGGCTGCAAATTCAAATCATTGTGTTACTAGTATACCAAATTCCAGGCTCTGTAAAACCAAAATGTAAACCCCATGTTGCAAATATAAGCATGGCTAATAACATACTTTTGAAAGTTGAAAATGAAATATAACTAGCAACATATATATAAAAAGATTATTTATTTTTTTATTAGTTACTAATGGTATCATTAGTTATGTAGTAATGTCATTAAGACATAACAAACTACGTAGATGTTAGTCCATGACAAAACCCATTTTTTTAATACACAACTTGTTGAATCATGCTATAAAAAAATTCTGGAAAATGACTGAGATAGTATTGATATTAAATGAGATCCAGTGGTCAATTACATGTTCTAAAAAAAATGTTATCTAAATTGAGTTAAGAAAATTGTGCTTTACCAAACCAAAAAGGTTGCCATTTCTTCTTTTGTTTCTCACTGATTCAAAGAATATCTTATAGAATAGACCTATAAAACTCATACATTATCTTGTATACTTCTTTTAGGTCAAATCTGTGTCATTGTTGTTCAAGTGTCCATAAACCTAATTTAAGTATTGTCTGTATATGGAAGATGTTTTGCAACTATTATCAATTTGCTAAACCCATGATGTACTTTTTAGATTATCTTTTTAACAATCTTCGACATTAAAAGATGACAGAGTGATGCGAAATATTCCATGTGTGGATTTACTAATAAATTATCAAGTTTCAACACATTATTAGAGTGCTCGTTATATTTAACTCTGATATATTTAATACATTTAACAAACATCAAAGTTAGATACACAAGCTCTAGGAGGGTGCATTATTAACCAACTTAAGTTAAAGTTGCATTTATTTGAAAAAAATTTGTCCAACATGTTTAAGTCTTAAAAGATAATGAATATATTATAACAGACTATAATTAGGGCATGGTTGTGACAATGTCATGGGCCATGGTTACAACAAGATCTATGTTCAGGGCCAAAAACTAGTGAAAAAACTAAAATAGTCCTTGTTCTTGGTACCAAGAACAAAGCCACATATTTCAAACTTTAAATTAAAAATGTAAATAGCTCTAAAAATGTAAATAGCTCTAAAAAATGTCCTGTATCTTGTAATAGATAAAAAAAAACCGTTCATAATTATTAAAAAAAAACAAACCTTTTTATAGAATTATTTACCTTGTTGACATTATTCTATTTACACAAAAATGTTAACTAAATCAAAGACAATGAAGAACTGAATGTTATGAAAACAAGGCACCGTGATATTGACAAAACAACAATTATAAAATCACAATAAGATTAACGGTTTCAAAACAGATATAACAGTGGCAATTATAACAATATTGAAGTTCACTTTTGTTCCTTCACGGCTGTAAGAGTAACATGTGCTCTCGAAGCTTTTTTTAGCATATTTTATTTAATTTTGCATATGTAATTTCCGCATAATTACGTATAATTTTCAAGTGGACTTTGATCGCCTTTTGAGTGATACTTTCGTTCGATAACCGCTTTGCTATACTTTCCACTCGTGATAATCTTGTTAATCTGTTTGATTTAAATTTAAATTATTTTAAATTGTTCGGAATGGATTCAAAAAGTTATGAAAAAAGAATTAAGAAAAACCCTGAAAAAAGATCCCACAGGTAGGTCAACACCTATTTTATATTAGGGAAAACTTAAGGTTTATAATCTGGCTATATTAATAAAAGTTAAGGTTTATAATCTGGCTATATAATATAGTATATTAAAGCCAGATTATAAACCTTCATTTTTCGTACTATGAGAAATAAGGTCATTATCATAGTATGTATTTATAAATAAAGGTTTATAAAGCTCTGAGTCTTAGCTTTAAGTCAAAAGCTAGGAATATGTTTTAAATAATTTTATAATATTTCACTTGAGTAATAGTAAGTTATATAAGTAATATAATGATTGATAATAATATCTTAGAATTGTGTTGCTTAAGAAAGATTCTGGACAACGCCTTTTTCCCTTGTTAAAACAATAACTATATTTACTTTTAAGCGATCTATTTTATACCTGCTATTTTAGAATTTATATACAATTTTTATTTTTCTTTCTAGTTATTTCTCTGTCATAACGAAATAACTAAAGAAAAAACTAAAAAATGATGCGTAAAGGTCTACTGTCATAGACTATGACAGTAGATCTTTACGCATTATCAGTTTGTAATTGTTAGTAAATGTCTCTCACTTTTGTATATATATATATATATATATATATATATATATATATATATATATATATATATATATATATATATATATATATTCCTAGATCAACCTAAAGGTGACTATTTGCGGTAAAAATACCACACTTAAGGCGACTTTTTTGTTAAGGTGACATTTTTCGGTCACCTTAACGTTTCTTAACCAGATTCTACATTCGTTATATAGATTTATAAAGATTACAATTTATCATGCTAAATGGTAATGCTAACCCAGTTGTCATTTAAATTTTCTCTTAAAAAGAATGTTTTTTTCTCAAGTTATGAGCCATGTAAATTCGGGGTTGTATATCATGAAAAATTTTACATGCAAGTTAAAGCTGCGTTACGGCTACACTCTCCTTTGTGCTAGTTTTTTAATGTCTAAACGGGTATGTATTTGAGTTATTAGTATTTCTATTAACAACTTAGAACTTAAGCTTCTTTAATACCCAAAAATAGTTAATTTTAGATTAGAAACTGAGTCAGAGGTTCGTTTTAAAAAAATATACATGTTCAAAAAGCGTCAAAAACTTGCATTTATGCCATAGTCAAATCACGGCAGAATTTGTATCTAAGTGCGCTATCACATGGCCGATCAAATAAAAGATAAAATCTATTGTAAGTATAAATGCTTAATATGAATTTATAGTTTTATTATTCATATTTACCATTTATACTGTAATCGATTCAATGTACACGAAACTTATATTTGTAATATATTGTGTCTGACATTTCATCTAAAGCACATCTTGTTACGATTCAAATATATATATAGTTACTTTATTTATATAAATAAGGTTGAATTTTTTCCATAAGACATTATTTATATACTCTATATTTATGTAATATTGAATTTTATTTGTTTATATATCTTTTTTTTTAGACACTTTAATGTGTGCACTAATATGCAGTGTTAATGTTTGCAAAAAAATTAAAAGTTTGTATATATATTTTAATTAATCGAAGTCAATATTATTGTTTATTGAGTTTTAAAACAAAGCTCTATAAGTTGTTTATAACTTTTTCATAATTTGAGTATAATTTATTGATAAGCTATTTTGGTTATTTCACAAAATTTTAGTTTGATTGAGTGTCAAATAATTAAGAAAAAAAAAAGTATTTAAATATTATTTGTTTAATTTATTCATTAATCTTAAAGTAAATAAATCCTTTAATCTAGTGCGTAAAAGAGAAAAATGTCACCCAAAAAATCTTGCAAAGTTCTATATTCAAAGAAAAATTGATCAAGAAGGATTTTTCAAAGTTAAAATTAATGACACTATAGGTAAAAAAAGTTTTAAAATCATGTTTTCATTCTTTTAAAATCATGTTTTCATCCTTGTCTAAAGTTGACTTTTATTATGGTACTTAATCTTTTTAAATAATACTTGAACAAAATTTGTTGAATAATGCTATATTTATATTAATAAATCATAAATAATTCATTTAATAAAATGTGCACCATTCATTATATGTGTTATAGGTATAGTATATTATAAGCAGTAAATCGTTAAACCTTGAGGATTTCTTAGTTAAGTTATAAACTTGTTTTAAAAGTTAATTTTTAATTGTTAATTTTTTTAAATTAACTCAAATAGAAATGTCAAAAGAAAATCAAGACAAAGCCTTATGATTAACTTATTATTATTTATTATTTTTTTGACTTCAGTCTTTAACTTCAGTTGTCTTATAATTTTTCTATTTGGATGAAATATATTATAAAAGTATCTTTAAAAAATCTAAATTGCACCTCAAGGTTTAGTTTCTTGTTCCTTGTTATATATTGTTTTAAATTTCACATTAAGATTCTTTAGATATAAAAAACATCTGTATAAAAATCTCGATGACTACTTTACGTTTGATTTATTTTTCGTATATATTGTTTTAAAAGTCACCTTAAGTACCTTTTGTTTCACTGAGTTTTACTATAAAAATGTCAATTAAAAAATCTAAAGGTTGCCTTAAGGTTGGTTTTATTGTTTTTTACTGTTTGTTTTAAAAGTCACTTTAAGGTATTTTTGTTTGGCTGATTTTTTTTTAAATATCTTTCAAAAGGCTATATGTCACCTTTAGGTTTCCTTTATAAAGGAAACCTAAAGGTGACATATAGCCTTTTGAAAGATGTTTAAAAGAAAATCAGTTAAACAAAATTACCTGAAGGTGATTTTAATTTAAAGGTGACAATAAATTTATTGGTCCTTGCTAAATATTGTTTTAAATTTTACATAATGTTTTTTAGTTATAAAATAAAGTACTTTAAAAAAAATCTAGATGACAATTCAAGGTTTAGTTTATTTTTCCTTTCTATATATGTTTGAAAATTACCTCTCAGTTCTTTTGTTTTACTGAGTTTACTACAAAAATATGTAATAAAGAAAAATCTATAAGTTGCCTTAAGTTTTGTTTTATTGTTACTTTATAATTTTGATTTTAAAAATCATGTTAAGTTTTTTTTGAATTACATTTTTAAAATATCTTCAAAAAATCTTTGTCGCCTTAAGGTTTCCTTTATTGTTTTTTTATTATATACTGTTTTAAATTTATCTTAAGTTTCTTTATTAATAAGTTAACATATTGCATAAAAAACTAGATGCACCTTAAGATTTAGTTTATTCTTTTTTTTTCAATGTTGTTTTGAAAGTCACTTCAAGTTTTTCTTGTTTTTACTGAATTAACTATAAAACTAGCTATATAAAAATCTAGTTGTCACCTTAAGTGTTGTTTTAATGTTCAGTTTTATATATTGTATAAAGAGTCACCTTAAGGTTTTTATGTTTGGTTTTTTTTGTTAATAAAATCTAGATGACACCTTAAGGTTTAGTTGATTCTACCATTTTATATATTGTTTTGAAATTTACCTCAAGTTTTTTTTTTAATAGTGAGTTTTACTTTAAAAATATCTGTGAAAGAATCTAGATGTTGCCTTTAGGTTTATTTTCTTTTTCTTTTTTATATTTTGTTCTAAAATTCCCTTTACGGTGGATGTTAATCAAAGTTTTGTTAACATTCACCTTTACCTAAATTTCTGCAAAAATTATTGCTAAACCATTAAATCCTTTAAATGTAATCGAAATTATGAATTATAAATTAAAAAAAAAAACTATGAGTAACTTTCATAAATTATTACCATGTAAACCTAATCAATAAAAAGTCGCCTTAAGGTTTTTATGTTTGGCTGAATTACATTTTAAAAATATTCTCAAAAAGTCTATATGTTGCCTTAAGGTTTGTTAGGCAGCTCCTTGTTATTTATTTTAAAAAATTAAAAGTCACCTTAAGGTTTTTTTGTTTAGCTGAATTATATTTTTAAATATCTTAAAAAAAAGTCAATATGTCGCCTTAAGGTTTACTTAATTGTTCCTTGTTATACATTGTGAAATTTTTTTATTTTTTTAACTTAGTTTTAAAAGTCACCTTAAGGTTTTTTTATGTTTGTCTGAATTATATTTTAAAATATCTTTAAAAAGTCTATATGTCACCTTAAAGTTTCCTTAATTATTTCTTGTTATAAATTGTAAATTTTTTTTTGCTTGTTTTAAAAGTCACCCAAGGGTTTTTTTGTTTGGCAGAATTATATTTAAAAATATCTTCAAATATTTAATGTCTCTAGATGTTTTACTTTATTATTCCTTGTTATATATTGTTTTAATTTTTACCTCAACTTTTTAAAACAAATCTGAATGACACTTTAATTTTTAGTTTATTTTTCCTTTTTTTACATTGTTTTAAAAGTCATTTCAACATTCTCTTGTTTTTATTGAATTTTACTATAAAACTAGCTATATAAAAATCTAGTTGTCACATTAAGTGTTGTTTTAATGTCCAGTTTTATATATTATATGAAAAGTCACCTTAAGGTTTTTATGTTTGGTTTTTTTGTTATATAATGTTTTAGATTTTTTCTCCAGTTATAAAATGAAGAATTTAAGTATATATATATATATATATATATATATATATATATATATATATATATATATATATATATATATATATATATATATATATATATATATATATATATATATATATATATATTTATGTCGCCTTAAAGTTTTGCTTTATTTTATCTTGTTATGTATTTTTTTAAACTTTGCTTTTTTCTTTTCTATTTTTAAAAGTTTACTTTGTAATATTCTGAAAAAAATCTAGATGACACCTTAAGGTTTAGTTGATTCTACCCTTTTATATATTGTTTTGAAATTTACCTCAAGTTTTTTTTTAATAGTGAGTTTTACTATAAAAATATCTGTGAAAGAATCTAGATGTTGCCTTTAGGTTTATTTTCTTTTTCTTTTTTATATTTTGTTCTAAAATTCCCTTTATGGTGGATGTTAATCAAAGTTTTGTTAACATTCACCTTAACCTAAATTTCTTCAAAAATTATTGCTAAACCATTAAATCCTTTAAATGAGTAACTTTCATAAATTATTATAAACTGCTTTGTGTACTATTGCCATGTAAACCTAATCAATAAAAAGTTGCCTTAAGATTTTTATGTTTGGCTTAATTATATTTTTAAAATATTCTCAAAAAGTCTATATGTTGCCTTAAGGTTTGTTAGGTAGCTCCTTGTTATTTATTTTAAAAAATTATGTTTTAGTTAGTTTTAAAAGTCACCTTAAGGTTTTTTTGTTTAGCTGAATTATATTTTTAAATATCTCAAAAAAAGTTAATATGTCGCCTTAAGGTTTGCTTAATTGTTCCTTGTTATATATTGTGATTAGTTTTTTTTTTTAACTTAGTTTTTAAAGTCACCTTAAGTTTTTTATATTTGTCTGAATTATATTTTACTTTTTGTTGTTATATATTGTTTTAATTTTTACCTAAATTAAAAAAAAAAATCTGAATGACACTTTAAGGTTTAGTTTATTTTTTCTATTTCAATATTGTTTTATAAGTCACCTCAAGTTTCTTTTTTTTTAATTGAGTTTCACTATTTAAATATTTATAAAATGTAAAAAAAAATAAATGTTGCTATAAAGTTTGTTTTATTGTTCCCTTTTTAAAGTTTTAAAAACTTTCTTAAGATATTTTTGGTTGGCTTAATTATAATTTTAAAAATATCTGTAAAAAAATTTAAATGTTGACATTATTTTTTTATTTATTTTTTTTTTTTTTAAAAAAAGTCACAATTTTTTTGTTTTTTTGTTTGGCTGATTTTTAAAAAAATATCTTTTAAAAATCTCTATGTAGCCTTAAGGTTTCCTTTATTGTTCCTTGTTATATATTGTTTTGAATTTTACATAAAGTTTTTTAGTTATATAATAAAGTATTTTAAAAGTAATCTAGATGTCTCTTTAAGGTTTGGTTTATCCTCCCTTTTTATATATCGTTTAAAAATTTTTTCTGCTTTATTGAGTTTTACTATAAAAATATGTAAATAAAAAAATCTAGTTGCCTTAAAGTTTGCTTTTTTGTTGCTTTCTAAATTTCGTTTTAAAAGCAGGGATTGTCTTTTTCTGTATATTTCTTGAAATCCTGATATTTTTTTTTAGTTTTTCCGGATATTGAAAACATTTTAAATATGTCAAGTTGAGATATATATTTTTGTAATATATTTGGTTTTTAGGCTTTTTCCTTCATCACTCATAGAAAAAATATGAAAAGTGTCAAAAAAAAAAATTAAAACAACTTAGCTAAAGGCAAAATTAAAAAGAAAATAAGGGAATATACATTCTGGATTTTTTCCGGATATTTTATTCAAACAATTGTCCGGATTTTTAAAATATGAATCTATTTTAAAGTCATGTTAGATTTTATTTTGTTTGTCTGAATTATATTTTTAAAGTATTTTTCAAAAGTCTATATTGCCTTATGGTTTGCTTTATTGTTCCTTGTTATATACTGTTTTAAATTTATCTCAAGTTCTCTAGTATCAAAATAACACATTTAGAAGAAAACTACTTGACTTTTGGTTTATTCTTCCTTTTTTCATATTTTTTTAAAAGTCACCTCAAGGTCATATTTCTTCATTTTTTCATAATTTATTTTTTAAAATTTCATAGTTTCATATTTTTTCAAAAGTCACCTCTTGTTTTTACTGAATATAGAAGTATCTTTATTAAAGTTTCCAATTTAAGTGTTCTTTTTTAAATATTGTTTCAAAAGTCGCTTTAAGGTTTTATATAATTTACCAGGCTTGGTCGGGAAACAGGTGCGATCGCACTTGATGACTGACCACGGAAATAATATTTAGTTGCGAAAAACTGACCAGATTTTTAGTAGTTTTAAAAACATTCAAATTCACGTATGTTTCCTTGTTTGTCCGCATAATAATTATTA